TGCAATCTGCATACCCATCATCTTTGCAAATTCTCTTTTCTGTTTATCCGTAAAGTTTTTAACTAATATTTTGGTTTTCTCTTTGTTTGTTTTCAATCCTGCCACTGCACCATATTCTTCTATTTTCTCAATTAGTTTAGGTCCTGTTTCTTGTGGTTCTTCTAAAATAAACACCAAATCATCAGCAAATGCCTGTAGTTTATACTCCCCCTTCTTTATTTTCATGAGTTTTATTCCACTGTCTTGCCTAATATTTAATACCTCTAAAGTTAAAATAAATAACAATGGAGATAGGGGACATCCTTGCCTTGTACCCTTAGTTATATTAAAGTTCTCTGTCAGGTCCCCATTTATAATCACCTTTGCTGTTTGTTTCTAATATATTGCCTTAATTGTGTTAATACATTTCTCTCCAAAGTCCATATATTTAATTGTAAAAGCATAAATTGCCAGTTCACATTGTTAAATGCCTTCTGTGCATCAAGGAAGATCAGTGCCATTTGCTTTCCAGGGTGCATCTCATAGTATTCCAATGTATTCAAGATCATCCGCATATTATTTTTAATTTGCCTCTTAGGTGGAAATCCATTCTTTTTTTTTAATAAATATTTTATTGATTTTCTATTTTCACAAACAGGTGCTCCATAAATAATGTGGTGACTGAGTCCGTTAATAATTCGGTGATGCATATAAGTTTTTCCAACTAAGTCCAGTGTTACACCTGCCAATACCTCCTCTCTTCTTCTGGTAATAACAATTTTTCGCATTATGTGTATGTATTGTTATAATCCCATGTTTCAGAAGGACTAGGAGTGGCTCTCTGTGTCTTTTGCTTGTTCATCCACCCTACCACGCAAATCATTTCCTGCAATGAAGACAGGACTTGAGCATTTCTGCATTGCCAAATCCATGCTAAATTCCTGTATTATCACTCTCCCAAAGCAGTATCTTGCTAAGAACAGAATAGTTTTAAAATTTCTCAGGTCATACCAATTACTCACAAGTATGTGAGTAAACTCTAGAGGAGAGTTTAAGAACACTAACTTTCATCAAAATGAGCAATTGTAACTGCAGTTAAAATCAGCTTTCCCCTACTTAAAGATGGTTGGCAATTTTCATAATTTCCTTTTGCAGTTCCACAGGATTTGGCAGTCAGGTTTTGACATTTTCCTGCATGTTCCACCCCATTTATGTGTGAGCAGAAAATCTGCAGGTACAAAAGGGACAAGGCTTGTGACACATTACTGTCATGGTGCTTTCATCATTTTGCCTCCCTGTAGATATCATCCTTCAGAAATTCTGACTTGGCGTTGGCCGGATGAGTTCACTTCAGAGAAGATGGAGTGCTTGAAAGCCTTCCTGTAATTTAGTCACCTGTCCACCTCAAAGTTTACCTATCAAGCTTTCATAGAGAGTGTTTGCTTGATATTCTAGGCCAAGTCTGGACATACAATAGCTATCTGCAGGTTTCTGCGTAATGAAAAAAATGGCTGATGTGAAAGAATATCACAATGCAAACCTAGTCCTTTTGCATTCATAACCTGATGTGAGACAAGGATGTCAGTCATGGGATTTGTCTTGTGGCATTATGTTGCATTTTCACTTCCCTGTTCCCTTGCAGAGGCTTATGAATCTGGAGCTATTAGTTTCTCCTGACACGGGGAGCTATTTAATATTAAAACCTGCATAAGTCCAAGTTAAGTGTTTAAAGGCATTGTTTTTATTTCCCTTAAAATGAAGAACTCAAGCATTATGTTTGTTCTTCTCAACATTCTGGCTGTTCCATTTCCTTGATTAAATCTTCCTTATGATTATCAGGGATAGTTGAGTTTCTTGGGCCTTCCTCTAAAGGAGAAAATAGATGCAAAGCAACTCAGGATCCAGATCATGTTCGGTCCAGCTCAGGTTCATCACCCAAGGTAGCATAGTTATTCCTTATGTAATATGCTTGTGGAGAGTTGATTGAATGGTGAAAAATTACAAATTGCCATGGCATGCAAAAGTAATTCATGGCCAAGGCGTAGCTCCTCTTCTCTGTGAATGGTGGCTCTAATCTGAATTGGGTCCCTGAATATTTACACACAACAGGAAAGAAAACAAAAAGTGGTGCTGTATGATCCAAAACTTAAAGGTGACTCGGTGATGCTTTTGAAGAAGAATTAAAGCTAAGTCCAATTGTAATTGACAGAGAGATTTAAATATTCCACCTGGAATTTGTTCATAATTAAGAAGTCACTAGAAGTCTAGTGGAACGCTAGACTTCTCAACTGGGAGGCTGTTCCATGAAGTCATAGGCTATGCTGTATACTGAATATATTTTATTCATCTATAACTTTGCAGGAAAAAAACAAAACAAAACAAAATCAATATAAATTTCCAGCAAGCAAGTTGTGAGCTCTGAATGCTAAATAATGGCATGCCTTTGTACCAGTAACATAATCTGATTAGCATACTTAGGAACTCTCATTATGTATGTACAAGTATATATTGCCTTAACCTAGGGGTGTCAAACTCACAACATTATGTGATGTGTCACAATGTATCGCGACTTTTTTTCCATTGTCGGCAATGGGGTGGGTACGGTTTCACCATGACGCATCCGGCCCATGGCTGGCAGTTTGACACCCCTGCCTTAACCCATGGTTTGCTTACATACATTTTGACACAAATAGTAGTTTTATATGAAATGCTGTGAACACAACCAAATTTAACTTAGAATCTCCTTGGATGGTAATGTCAAAAATATCCAGTGTGAACATTATATTCATCCAACTTTTTATTGTTTTGTGTTTGTGCAATTAAATTATCTCTGCTCCATGAAACTTGTCTATAGCACTCTTCAACTTTAATGTTCAAATTCCCAAGAGCTTTTGCTTCTCTGCATAAGTTGTGAAATATCACAACTCTAAACAACAGGATATACTCAGAAGAAAATTCATACAAGTGTTGTAGCAATCCATGCTGTGAATTTTCCCCAACTACTGTAAACATTTCTGCAGGTCCCTTATGGTCAGAGAAGATGGGAGGTTGGGGTCCAGTAACATTTGGAAGGTCACAGATTCTGCATTCTTACTTAGATTCATAAAAAGACACATTCAAAATTGGAAGAATTTCCAAATAGAAATATATACCGTACTTTCCAGCGTATAAGATGACTTTCTCAAGCGTTAAAATCGGCGCCGAAATCGGGGGTCGTCTTATACGCTGAGTCGTCTTATACGCAGGAAATAACGGTAGTTTCCGGCGTATAAGATGACTTTCTAGGCATGCAATTCGGCGCCGAAGATGGGGGTCGTCTTATATGCCGGGTCGCCTTATACTCTGGAATATACGGTACCTTTCAACTGGTCCTTGCTTAACTACCTCTCATTCAATTGGTTGCAGCATCCCACAGTTACGTGACTGTGATCTGGGTGCTTGGTACCTGGCTCATAATTACAATGTTACAGCATTCTGCAATGACATGTTTGCCATTTGTGACCTCTGCTGGTTTTCTACAAGCAAAATCCATGGGGAAGCCGACAGGAGATTGCAAATGGCAACCATAGGATGTCTTTGCTAAATGAACTATGGTATTTTACCTAATGACAGCAAATAGATGTGCTGGAGTTTCCATCAGTATGCACCACTTTCCATGGTCTCATGTGTTGCATTTTACAATCACATCAATTAGCGAAGGCAATACTGATCCCAATTGCTTTTGGATATGACAATTTTTACATTTTCATCTGGATAGATCAGATGCAAGTTTTATTGACTGGGTAGGAAAGGGAATTGCAGCGTATTTTTTTTTCCAGGCCAAATTATATTTGCCAAAACTCCTACGCAGCAATTAGAAATATAAGAGATCTGTCTTCCTTTCCAGCTGGACAATTTATCTTGTTCTTTTAAGATGAATTAAAGAATATTTTGTGTGTGTTCTGAAAATGTTCTTGCTGAAATTCAGAAACGGTCTGTTTCTCCTGGATTTGAATCAAAGAGTGAAAATATCCCATAATATTATTTATAAGTATCACAAGACTTAACATAAACCAGAAAATTAAAGAATTCTAACCAGTGATGTTTCTATTTTACAAGTCAGAACAATTCATTGACTGTAAAAGTTTGAATTTGTGAATGATGCCAATCATTTAGTTGCATTTCTTAATTCCTCCCTTAATCCATGCATTGTACTACTCTACATGTGACTGAAGTAGTTATGCATTTAAGTTACGCAGCTCTGAAGTAGTTACGCATTTAAAGATATGTAGAAAGATGTCAAATTTATTCAAATGTGGAACTTGCTGTACTAAGTAACATGTTGCTCTTGTGGACATCTATACTCTTCCCATTGAAAACTGTCATTGTTTTGGAAAAAGAATCCAACGCTGTATCTGGAATCTGAGTTAGGATGTTCATTTAGTGATATTGGGACTGTATGGCATCACTCATCTACAATTCTTCCTTATTTTAAGTTCTCAGGCTTAGACTCTAAAAGGAAACGGTTCTGTTATTGGATGGATGGGATCTACTAGAACTGAACCCAATGTCACAGTAGATTCTGGATTATCTTTTCTGCACCCAAGACCTTTATGATCTGTTTAGCCAAAGCTTTACTTCATCAGTCCCTTTCACACTTCTTCATTGGAACTAAAGTGATTGAACAACATAGAAGTAAATGAAGTAAATTGGTTGTTCTCAACCTGTAGTCTGCGGATCCCTGGGCCTCCGCGTTGTTGTCACAGGGGGTCTGCGAAAGCTTGAAGAAATATTATGATTTAAATCTTGGATTAAGTCTCAGTGGTCCATGGCCATGAACTGTGGCCACAAAATGTATTTAAGGGAGGTCCGTGGTGAAGAAAAGGTTGAGAACCACTGAAGAAAATGATGGAATAAAAATTGGTTACCTGATTTTTCTTTTCATGAATTGCTTAGTCTTTCCCCTATCACTACCTAGCAGGAATCCAAAACATTTGCCCAATTCTGCCATTTTTAAATACCCAGGAATTATTTTCACTTACTTGATTTCTTTTGTCAAAGATGGTAGGCTTCTGCCACATGGATCCAGAGGATATGTCCACTTTGTTGTTAGATCTAGACTGAGAATGAAAAGAAAAATGAACAGTGAGCAAATATTCACTCCCTCTAATAATTACTTTATGCCACGTCCTCGAGACATTGCCTTCACCTGCTCCCCACCCGCAGATTAACCAGGTTAAATTCACTTTTCACTCTTCCTGTTTTAAATTGGCAATTTGCTTCAACTTTGCCCAACAAGATTCACTCTGGAGATAATCTAGGATACTTAATTGTGGTTAGGACCACATTAGACTGCTATGGGCCACCCCGCCCTTCCTCGGGCTGCTGGGCATTTCCAGGCCATTTTCTCTTGTATTGTAGGAAAGAGGCATCTTCGCATGTAAAACCTAAATGGCATTTTCAAGGGGGCACTGATCTTTTGCTGCAGAAGAGCTGAAATTAGGCCAGGATAAGAGCTAGGGTGCTGCCAGCTATGTCTTAACAGAATAACAGAGACTTTGGAAGTTTTTTAGTCCAAACCCCTGCTCAAGCAGGAGACCCTTCACCATTTCAGACAAAGGGCTGTCCAGTCTCTTCTTAAAAGCCTCCAGTGAAGACGCACCCACAACTTCTGAAGGCAAGCTGTTCCACTGATTAATTGTTCTCATTGTCAGGCAATTTCTCCTTAGTTCTAGGTTGCTCATCTCCTTGCTTAGTTTCCATCTATTGCTTCTTGTCTTGCCTTCTGGTGCTTTGGAAAATAGATTGACTCCACTCTTCTTTGTGGCAGCCCCTCAAATATTGGAGCACTGCTATCATGTCATCCCTAGTTCTTCTTTTCACTAGACTAGACATACCTAATTCCTGCAATTGTTCTTCATTTAGCCTGCAGCCTCCAAATCATCTTTATTGCTCTTTTCTGGACTCTTTTCAGAGTTTCTACATCTTTTTTATAAAATGGTGTATTATACTATTATTATAATATAATAACCTTATTATAATATTAATATCATAATACATAATAATATAAATATACAACATATTATAATGTTATAATAATGATGTATAATATAGTGTATTGCTAGTTCATTTGATTATAGTACAGGCATTCTGCTACTACTCACCCAATGGAGAGTGGCTGTACTTTATGTATGGATGTATTTTTATTATTTTTATGACTTGGAAGAGTGGAACCATTTTACCCAGTTCATTCTGGCTTCATGGCCAGTTCCAGGTGTTGCCAGCCTTGAGGAAAGACTGGATTCACTGCCAGTCCATAGGAATCCAAGTTGTGAATGGAGCTTGCTCAGTGTAGATTTTTCCCCCTCCCCCTTCAATATGCACTCCTCCTCCATGCCTGTGACTTTTCAGCTAGTCTAGTTTTGGGCATAGATTAAGTATTGTTTCGGAAAAAGAATAAACTCAATAAAACAGGTCTACTGCCTTTCTAGAAATAGCCGGTTGATAGGAGAAAGGTATGGAAAATATTATGCCTAAGACCTGTTTGCTAGACAGCTTGGGAGGTAGCTAAATACACCATTTCAAGTATCTGGTCTACTCATCTCTCTCCTACCTCACAGCTTTGTTACTATTTGCAGAAAAGGATTTTGGTAGCAAATGACATGCCAGTTTTCTGCAACATGACTATCTGGTTCTGCCCAGCAATGTTCTTCCTGTATTGTATATGGGCTTGATACTGCAGTAACTGAATAAATACAAAAGGTTTCAGCAGCAGATGCATCTTTTTGTTGATCGGTCAGTGCACAAATGTTATACCATAACAACAACAACAACAAAAAACTACGATATCATGGTGTGTAAGCACATTGTGCTGGGGTTTTTTTTAATTAAAAAAGCAAAGTTTTTCTTTTTTCTTTTCTTTTTTCCCTAGGCGGTGCTTTCCTAAAAAGTTCAGGTAGCTGAGTTGGTGGTCACAGATCGCAAGGCTTGTGACTCAAGTTCCTGTTATGAAGCTAGAAAGTGCCCACACAGCAAACTTAGCAGTGAGTGAAATAGAAGAATCAGCTAATTCTGCAAAGCAGTTCCCAGGCTCTGCTGAGCTGGCCAGGAACAATATTTGGACGACCATGTGAGGACACAGATCGCGCCTGGGTTGCTAACCTGGTTTTCAACCATAATTACCAGACTTTTAATTCACTATTCATTTGTCCTATCTTTGGCCATGCAGTACCAGATGCTGAATTTTTGATTTAATTGAATAATAAGAACAAGAATAGCAACATTCCTGTACCATTTTCTTTACAGACAATTCCAATTGTTTCTCACTGCGATGATTTTGTAAAACACTGCTGGTGATATTTTCTCCATTTAATGTATGCTATCCTGCCTCTTGATGACACTTCTACATTCACACTGGCTGACAAATCTAAAAAGCCATCAATTATGATACTGGACATACATTTACAGAATAAGATTTCATATTGTGTTTTGGTACTTCAGATTCTAAAACCTGCAGATGGACAACACATTAGAGCAATGTTTTTAAATATTGTTCCCCGAGACCCTATTAGGGATCTGTGAAATCAAAATTATTTGCTAGCCTATACTGAAAAACAATAAAATATTAAATCCCATCAAAGAATTGTGAGACATAGTCACGGTGAATATGTCAATTTTAATTCTAAATATGATAAATATAGATTAAAAAATACCACTCTTTTAGGGTCCTCCACAATTTTTAAAAGCGGAAAGGGGTTTTGAGGAAAAAAGTTTAAGAAACACTGCATTAGGAGTAGGATTAAAATGTTTATTAATATGTTAATAAAATACATTTATTAAAATCAGTTAAAATTCTGAAAGTATGGAGCAAGCGTGTACTTTCTCCAGAACTTTTCATTAAGTTAAGGAGTGCATTTTGGCTATATCAGATAATGCTAAGAGAATGAATTAGTACATAGAAGCAGGGCTTTTTTTGTCATAGAACACACCGGAACAGAGTTCAGGCACCTTTTTTTGACGGATTTTCCAGAGTTGCATTCTTTTCCTATTGTTTCCCTTCCTATCCTCGTTTGTTTTTGAAAATGCCCTGCTGGTGGTACGGTACGAGTGGGGTCCCCTCCGATGCTGTCTGGCTCCTCTAGGAGGAGCCATAAGGTGCCAGAGCACCACAGCCAGAGCACGGCTTGATTGGCTGGGTCGGACCATATGGTGTGGAAGCCAATGGTGGCGGTGGGAGACACATAAACATGGAGGCCATCTTTCACGAGTGAATCTTTTGCCTTCCCTTACAGAAGGTGAAGTGTGTGTGAGGTTAAAAAGAGGCAAAGCGAGAGGAAAGAAAGGTGGCTGGCGTGGAAGCTTGCCCGACAGTGAAACTTTGCTGTTTCAGTTCCTGAAGGCTGGGAAATCTATGAAAATCTCTTTTTAGTCTTTTATACTTTATATTCAAGCTGCAGAGGGGAAGAATAAGAATAAAGCCAATGTCTTGTGATTTAGAGGTATTATTATTATTATTAATAATATATATTAATTATGTATTGGTCAGATGTAAAGGTAGACCTACAGTATAAGGTTTAATCAGATCTATTTATTAAATTGGTGTAACTTAAAGGTAAATTAAAAGCAATCTGTTCACTGACAAAGTTTCAACTTTAATTTGTTTCAAGTCAATATCCATATTAAACTCCAAATTTAAATTTTTCCACCTTGTTTGACAACTTCTTAAAAATAATTCAATCTTTTACAAGCAACCAAATTTTGTTTTATTGGGCCAATTTTATTCCACATAGAAAGCTGACATTTCTACACATTAAACTAAATGGGTATGCCAGTGGTAAATGTCCCAAAAGATTAATAAAATGCCTTCTTGTAATTTAAAGCCACACAGTGCATGGTAATATTAATAGTATTAATTTACCTTGAACAAAATCCTAGTCTTTTAGATACACTAAAAATTGAAGGGTTTTTTTTTCCAACTACAAAGGTAAACCTTGTAGGGTAGGCAAGGCGGGTTGTATGACGTGTGTGAGTTCCGACACTTTTTTTTTAACAAAAAAAGTACTGCATAGAAGAATTAGTAGGTAATGCTGAGTCATCAACTACAATAGAGCTAATTGTAATAAAAAACAATATATAAACTTACCCAAAAGAAGAAAAAATGTTAAGCTCTATTGTGCTTATTCCCAAGTTAATTGGTATAGGATTACAGCCTCAGAAAATGTATTGTTTAACTTGGATCTGAATCTGAAATTTTTCAATGCATAATCTTAGTCATTATTATGCAACAGAAGGTATTAAGCAAGCAAATTTCTTTTAAAATTACCTGAGAAACACTTAAAGTCATTTATGTTAAATGTTAGGCAAACAACAAGCAATAATAACATTAAAATATGTTCTATTTGAGTGTGAAAGAACATTTACAGACCTTTAGGCCTGCGGCCTCAGCTTCTTTTCTTCAAATGGAAACCCCAATACATCCCTGCTTTCGATCAACCACAGCCCCAACGGTCCCAATCAAGTAAAATGTCAAGTAACTGTAAGAGGATAGAATAACCTGTGGTGGGATCTCAGCCATGAAACACATTCTCTCTGAGTTTGCACCTGGTACTCAATTAATAATTCTTTAATGACAGACGGCATGAGATTTTTTTCTCTCCTGAAACACTGAAGCACTAAGAGTATCTATAATGTAGATCAGCGGTCCCCAACCATTGTGACTTGGTGGCCTAGCTGGAGGCGGGGGGGGGAGAGAGGGGGAAACTAGGTCACTACCTGGTGCATGCAGGTCAACTTGCATGAGAGGCAGCCCAGCGCACAAACACATGTGTACACAGCTCGATTTGTGCATGTTGAGGTCCACCGCTCGCATAAGTTGAGCTGTGGGTGTGCGCGAGCGTGTTAGCCCGCCACTTGTGCAGCTCGGTTCCGAATAGGCCACGGCCTGGTAGTGGGCTGCAGCCTGGGGGTGGGGACCTCTGATATAGATAACATTCCCCCCCCCAAAATACCTTCTTCTGTTGCAATTTGCAAGACCAATTATTAAGATCTCTCTCTCTCCAAATAGACTCTTTCCCACCCTGCTCATAATGATACACTAATACCAACACACAACATGAATAGTATATAATGAATTAAAAAGCAGTGTCTCCAATATAACCAACTAAGAAAGTTGGTTAGAAAGATTACAAAAAGGTCTGGAAAACTTAAAAAGTCTTCCTCGCCTGACATGCAAAAAGACAAGAAAAGGGAAAGGAGATCTGTTTCTCCATAACAAACAGGATGACTTTTTAAAACACATGTTCTAAAGCAAAGGGTCTCCAAACCTGGCAACTTGTGGACTTCAACTCCCAGAATGGCTGTCTGAAGGAAGTGATCTGTGCCAACTTTCAAAAAATTAGCCTGGAGTTCCAGAATGGAATTGGGAATCCGGATCCCATAGCATTGTGCCAACTCGAAGTCGGGAAAAATTCCTTTTTACTACCCATCATAGTATCTTTTAGACTATCTTTTTAAAGTATGTCGTAATTGCCTCTGTCATATGGCATTGATCTAGCATCTTCTTCCAGATGGATTTGGTTTGGCTCCTGTAAATACTGCCCTGTGAGGGGGAGGATGAGTCTTGATTTGCAATGTATCTGGGAGATTCCATGAATAAAAAAATTGCCCCAGGGCATCAGTAAATGTTCGATTGGACTAGTTGGAATCAGAGGGCTTGAGTTTGGACGGATCCCTTATAGCAACATGCAACAGTGTTAACTGTGTTTTCAGTTGCTGGCTTTCTTTATACTAATGACTTTTGTTAGCATCAGGTAATCAAGCTATTTTATCAAAAACCACATCCTTGAATCTTTGCCTGTAAGTCTTCTGCTTCCAGATTAATTCTCATATCAAGTTGCAATAAGATTAAAAATGAAATCAATCTTAATTGATATTTTTTACCTATTGCTATTTTCAAAACAGCAGATTTTAACTGTATAACAGCATATTTGACTCAATAGGTTTCAATTGACAGTTTTCAATTGATAGTTCAGTCAAACTGATGAAAGACTTGTTCTATAGCACCAATAAATGCATCATCAGCAATATTTTTAATTAGCTAGTCACAGATTAGCTTCCTAAGAAAGTAACAGGCTAAAGAATTCACAAGAGCAAGAATTGGAACAACAAATAGTTAAGTGGCTGGGAAGGTGACCAAAAATGTGATCTGTCTTACCCACAGATGGAGGATTAAGAAGAAAAACAATATATTGTGCAATGTTCACATTCATTTTGTGTATTATGATTATTTCAGAATACCACCGCTGTTTTCTGCCTTTGGATGAATGAGTGAATATACTGTAGATATAGCCATATGTTCTGGAAGAAATATTTACCAGTATGCATGCAAAGGTTCTCAGGTTTCTAATTTTCAGCATTAACATTCAGGTAACAAACAATTCCGATCTTTGAGAGTTACAGATAATAATAGACAAGATTGAGCAATCAGTAAAAAACGGGCCAGCAATCTTATTCAATTCTGAATTCTGAGGCATCCTATGTTTCAGGTGGCTGGGGTTAGATTCCCCCCCCCCACACACACCAACACCAACTAAAACTGACCACAGTAGAAGGAGAAGAATTGTTGCCAAACATTGCTCCTATCAGTTAGGTAGCACATTGGCAAGAACATATCAAAATTCCTGTTTTTTTAAAAGAATGATTGCAAATCTACAAGAGGTACTTTAACTTTCTACAAGTTTTGCAATGTCTTCTAACCTCCCAACACCAAATGAATTCAAAACAAGAAGGGTGGGGGAAAGGGCTGTTATTTTCCAAACTTTTTGCCAGGCACAAAAAACCAGGTCAAAATGTAAAAGTTCAAAATTTTTGGTTTATTGTTAATAAGGTGACCAACCGTCCTCCTTTAGGGAGGACAGTCCTCTTTTTGTAAGTTCTGTCCTCCCTCAAAAAGTGTTCTCCTTCATGTCCTCCTTTTCGATATTTGAAGACTAATCTGCAGGGCTTTTTTTCCCTCATAGAATGCTCCGAATGGCGTTCTGGCACCTTTTTTTGATGGTTTTTTTTTTCAACTTTTGCATGAGCTGTGCTACTCCCACTATTGGCTTTCGAAAGCCAATAGGAATTGCTGCTGAGTGCGCCAAAACACCCGACTGGCAAACTTTGCACATGCAAGTTGTCTGTATTATTGTTGCAATGAATAAAATGTTTCTTTTATTTACGATATTTTTTCTTCACTTTATTTGTGTCCTCCTTTTCGTTGTAAAAAAGTTGGTCACCTTATTGTTAAACCTATGCATAGGAATCTTCTCACACTAATGGTTAGCACCCGGTTAGAACTAGATAAGAGTCAATGGCATACAAGGGGGAGTTGACTTTGTTTGTGACTACATAATAATTCTAAACTGATGCCTCTTTTACTGTGCCTGTCCCCTTGACTCTGTCAGTCCTTCCCCTATACTTCTACACATGCATGGAAAGGAGACATTTGCATGAACCAGAAGTTCTATATGGGCCTCCTTCTACCCTACTCATCCATGAGAGGACAGATGATATTAACAAGAAGAGCTATGACCATATTAAGTAATTTAGATTTCTCTAGGAAAAAAGATAATGAACTTTGAGGCTCAAGTGTTATTTTCATTCATCCTTCTGGTCCATACAAAAGGGTTGGAAAAGAAAAATATGTGAGCAACTAACTGATTATAGAAATGGCCAAGATTTGGGCTCTGTGCCATATTGCAGAGGTCCCTAACCTTTTGGGCACCAAGGACCCATTCTGTGGAGAAAGTTTTTCCGCAGACTGGAGATTGAGTGGTTTTGTGTGCTGCCTGCATCCTGGGGATGAGGCTTTGTTTGTGCAGACCGGTTGCTGGCATGCCTAGCCCAGTACCGGTCCATGGATTGGGGTTGAGGACCCCTGCCATATTGGACTTCATCTGGGTGATAGGGTGATTGATTGCTGGCATGAGATAGATTGTACATCACAAAGTCTGAGGAAAATGTATTTGGTTGAAGCATGCAAAACTTAATTTGAAGAATTGTAAACTGCATCTTTTTAAAAAATTATATTCCAGCTGCATGAGGATACAGCTTAAATAATCAGCTTTTCTTTGGTGATGGGACTTGAGAAACCTCTGTTGCTAAAGTGCTGTAAAGATGTAGATTCAGTGTTGAAAAATCCTTCTTCATCGTGGCCACTAATGTTACTGCTCTCGGCAGTGGGCAAACATAGAGGAGTCTTTATATTCCAGTCCTTCAAATAACCTGGACTCAAACAGTTAATGGTTTTATTGGCTAAAGTCAGCATCTCAAATCTGACAACAAATTCATTAATAATACAGCAATTGAAGCAATATAGATGTTATATTAACCAATCTCAATTTCCCAGGAATATTCAGAAGGGCGCATTGTACATCAGTTGAAATTACCAAACCATATTTAAAGACAGTCACACCAAAATAAAAATAAAGTAGCCTTCACGTTAAGCTTAACTCCTGGTGCCTGCATGGATTGACAATAATATGGAAGTCATTTGCCACTGACTTCTTCAAAGACTTTTTTTTTACTTCTCTATCTAACTTTTTCTAGTATTAAGACCTAACCCTTAGGTTAGCTTAGCTTAGCTTCCAAATACAAAGTTGACCAAGTGCTCCCGTCAACTGAAATCCAACCTGTCTTATGTAATGGACATTAAAATACTTTAGTGCAGATAGTTGATAAGATTACACCAATCCTGATAGGACTGTAGCTAGTATATTAGCACAAGCTGCTAAAAAGTCTCTCCTGGCCAACACTGTTGCTCCAGATGTCGTAGTAAATAATCCAGAATTCCTAACTCTGCATTTTGTCTTTCAGTGAGAATAGAACTGTACCTAAGATCGGTTGAAACCTCCTTCACTGCAATATATTAGTAACAACTGGTATGAATCAAGTTTCACTTGTTTATTCTCATCCTTCCTAAAACAACCCTCAAATCTCAATTCAAGAGTTTTGTAGATCAATAGATGAAAATCTGGGGCAATAGTGAATAACACCTGCGTACCTAACATATCAACACAAATCCCAAATGGCTCTCCACAGCATGTAAATGTTGAAAACCAGGAGACCATGGTGAAGCCAAGATTATGGGCTAAAAAGAAATTTCTGAGTTTTATCTTCTTGAAACACTTTTAACTAACTGCAAAAGCATCTGAGAATTTCAGAAGAATTACATAGCCTGAATCTAGTCCCATGTAGACTTTCATTACTATTTTAGTCCCAAAAGCAGGCTTGAAACCAGATTGGTTTCTTAACTGAGAACATCCAGAATTCCCCAGTTAAAGGCTAGCACAGGCAAGAATGAAGTTAAGAAACTGATCTTTCAGTGGACTTATTACTATAAATGATTCATAACCACCGACTTCCAGTTCCAGGCTGTCCATGAGATATATTAAAGTTTCTTTTTATTTTTATTTGACATCACCTGTAGCAACCTTTTACTTATAATTTCAGTTCTTATACTATAAAAATA